TTCATACGAAGCATAAAAGAGGTACTCTATCTCACATCACTAACCCACAATGTCTTATGAACTTACTTGAATATCTATTATCTGGTTGGAATTTGCTGCTTCAGACAATATACGAACAAGTTTGGCCACATTTTCCCTAAAGACAACACTGCTGAAGTCCCTTAGGAACCTTGTTGAGAACTCATAGCTTGAAACTTTTCTCTGTTGACGCCACTTTTCACCATCAACTGCGAAAATCCCATCACCTAATAAATCCTTTAGAATGATGTAATTGTACTGACCCTGCGCATACAGTTTTAGACAATCATCAAAACAATCCTCATTTAGCATTTATGAAGAGCAAATCTAGTTTTACATAGTTTTGGTTCGTAATTTTCGTTCTCCATCAGAAGAGCCCTGTGTTTCATTTAATCAAATTACAGCAACCTAACTTCTCAAAATAAGGTCACACATAATTTTCTGTTTTAAAGGTTGTTGTGGCAACATGACTAACCAATTGCTTCTCAGTTTACAAATTCATGACTTTTATTGTGCTTTCAACTATAAGATTCAAACCCAATACAGGACAAATGCCCAAGAATCAACTTCCTCAGTTTTCCAGATATTATGTCTGATTCTGTACTTTTTTTTCTCTACTGTAGCTTTTATATAATTCAATCTCCAATTCCCAAAAGGAAGAAGTAAAGAGATGAGGGAAAGTCAGGTAAACACATACCTTTCCGTAATTCTCAAAGTTGGTTTTGAGTATATATTCAATATTGGCTGGCTCAGAGGTGTAGATCTCATTCCTGAGCGGACCGAGCAGCCTGTAGGTCCGGTACTTCCGGGCAAGATCAGTCATATAATCATGCAATCTACTGAAGTTGAGAAGTTGGTTGAAGACTGTGCCACCCACGGGATGGTACTTATATTTTCTCTGATTTTTGTTCAGACTTGTAGCGAGGACCTTGAAGGTGAAGAGAAAGAGGATAATAGCGAAAGCGGTGAAGGCGATGGTGCAAAGATCCATGGCTTCCCCGTGGATGCCCCGGGCTTGGCTTTCCTAGATGGTTTCGAGGAAGGGAGATTGATTTTATAAAAATTAAAATTAAAGTTTTAGCCTTAGTGCAGTTGCACCCTATCCCCTTGCGGTTAGTGCTGCGGGTCCAATGGAAGATACGGAAGATTTCCTTTTTAGTTTTGGTTAAATACCTTTTTGGTCCCTCTACTATAAAAAAAGCTCCTTTTTAATCCTTGTACCCAAAAAATCTCTTTTTTGATCCTTACTGTTTACAAATCTGACCCATTTTTGGTCCTTCTGTTAATTTTTGTTCACGTGGCACGTTAACTTAACTGGAATAGCTGACGTGGATATGCCAACGTGTAAAATATGCTTACGTGGATTTAATGATACCCTCCACGTCTCCCTCCACGTCACTCTTCCAGCACGGAAAAAGAGAAAATTACTAATTTACCCCCATCTTCTTCCCCATTCTCTCCTTCCTTTGGGCTTTTTTTTTCTTTTTTTTTTTCTTCTTTTACCTCCAGGCAAACCCAGCTCCAATCCAGGTTGCAAACCTAGGTGCGACCTGGATTAATTGTTCATGGGTTCATGAAGAACCCAGGCTTGGGTGGATTCATCTTGGGTTCTTGACGAACCCAGGTGCGCGTTAGGTTCTTTGCGAACCCAGGACCAACCCAACTCGTGCCTGGGTTCCCAACGAACCCAGTGAGACCTGGGTGGGTTTGTCCTAGGTTCACAACGAACCCAGGTGGGCCTGGGTTCCCGTCTACAATGCTTGTGCCTGCGGCGCTCGCCTGGGTTCGTCGTGAACCCAGGATGAACCCACCTAGGTCGCGCTGGGTTCGTCTGGAACCCAAGCACGAGCTGGGTTGGTCTTGGGTTCGCAAAAAACCCAGTGCGCACCTGGGTTCGTCAATAGAAAATAAAAGTAGAATTTGACTCCTAATCAACTCAAAACACTCTCCAAATTCCATCTCCATATACTTCCAGCTATTCTACAGCAAATCAACCAAAACCAAGCACGATTTCATAACACATTCAAAGAAAATACAATCTAAACTACAGAATGCATTTCAATCAAAAGAAAGAAGGTAAAGAACTAAAGGAAAACATAAAGAAAGCGGCAGTGAGTCCTCAGTTCTGACAAAATAAACAAGTTGACAAACAAAAACCGAACGAAGATCCCAAAGTTCAATCAAGAAGAAGAAGAATCCAGGGCTCCTTGCGGGTTTCGCGAACCCAACAACTGGGTTTCGCAAGGAACCCAAATTTGGGTTTCATGAACCCAGGTCTTGGGTTCCTCATAGAACCCCCTTGCTGGGTTCGCAGAGGAAGAAGGTTAGGAAAGAGAAAGGGGCGGAGGGATAAGAGAGAAGAAGGGAGGAAGAAGAAAAAAGAATAATATAATAATAATAAATTATGTGGGTTTTTATTTAAATATAAAAAAATGCCACATAAAAAAAAATACCATCTCATCAAGTTTGTTTTAGCATAATTATAATTTAAATAAAAACCTATAAAGTCACATAATTTATTATTATATTATATAGATAAATAAAACCTATAATTAATAAAAAAAATTGAAAAACATAATTTAAAGACAAAAAAATGTAAACCTATAAAGTTGAGGGACTAAATTTAGCATTTAACTTTTTTTTCTTTTTTCACGCAGGAAGGTGACTTCGAAAGTGACGTGGAGGGTGTTATAAATCCACTTAACCATATTTTACACTTTGACATACCCACATCAGCTATTCCAGTTAAGTTAACATGTGTCACGTAAGCAAAAATTAACGAAAGGATTAAAAATAGGTCGGATTTGTGAACAGTAAGATCAAAAAAATGATTTTTTCAATATAAGAATAAAAAAAAAAAAGCTTTTTCTATAATAAAGGGATCAAAAAAAATATTTAACCTTTAATTTTTAATACGAGAAAAGGTTACCATCTTTATCCTAAGCGTATAAAAATTAATGGAA